TATTGGCACCTTGAATGTCACCCATGTCCACACCTTCCTCACCTAAAAACAACCACAAATGTACAGTGAGAAAAGAAAATATTTTTATAGAAAGCTCAACACGAAATTCTACAAAACAATCTCAAAGTAATATAATCCATGAACACACAAATTCCATCATCTCATCATAATCCACATATTTCATCATCTCATCAAAATTCACATGTGTACATATAAACAAATTGTACATATACACCGTGTCACACATCCAGCACCAGATCATGTACATGCCCCTGTTGATGTATCACACGTCCAACATCATATCACTCACCCGACTTTGCTAATGCATTCCACTACCGGTACCGATATCACGCATATGATTGTACCTGACGCATCACACATCTAGTACAGTATCATGCATATGACCATGCCCCAACAACACATAAATAGCACTGTAACACGTGCACACCCTTACGGCCTAGTTTCATGCATACAACTGTGTCCAATCATCACATCGCAGTTCACATTTCAATTCTACATCACATGCACAATATAGATAAATCTACACAAAACAATGGTTCACATACCCCTCACGCAATTCACCATGAATTCACATCACATCATCTTTAATATATGAATTAACTCTACAACATAATATTATAAAACTTTAAACCACTTTTCAATCCACATGATAACACCTAGGGGTGGCAAAAATACCCGCACCCGCGGGTATCTGTGGGTAAAATTCGCTACGAATAATAAATGGATAGGCTAATTGGGTACCCGTGGATAATGGAGATGGATAATTTTTTACCCGCTTATAAATGAGGTGGGGGCAGGTATGATGATATCCATACCTGCAGGTACCCGTTTAATAATATTTCTTAAATATCCTAATTATCTTTGTACCACATAACCCTAAAACTAAACTCTCTCATCTTATTTTCTTTCCATAGCCGCACAAGCCACACATTAGTCATCACAATAAGATTTATGTATTTTAAGTTGTTTACTTTTATTTGAAATTATGAGATTGAATTATTGTAGCTTTCTGATATGAGACTTTCACTTGTGAGATTGATGTATTTTAAGTTATTGATTATCTTGCATTTTTATTATTATTTCAACAAAATTAACATTAAATACAAGTTCAAAATTAACATTAAATTTTTATTTTTAATATTTCAATGAAATTAAATATATACTTAAAATTATTTCTAATATAATTTTTTTAATTTCTTAAAAAATTTATAAATATCCATGAATATCCGTAGGTATTCAAGAAATTCATGGATACTTGCTTAATAGTTACCCGCACGGATATGGGATGGGTATGGGACCAATTTTCATCCCGCAGGACGGGGACGGGTTTACTATTACCCGCCCCCATAGGGCCCTATTGCCATCCCTAATAACACCTTAGAACATCAAAACAATACGTATCTCCCTTCGACAACTGTCAAAGAAAGCAACACACAAAGAGTTATACTCATCCAAATAATCTCAAAATAATCTCAAAAGAAATATAAGAAAATAATCTATAACTCTTATGAAGACATGAAATTCTAAAAAAATCATCTACTTAGCTAAAAATTTCAAAATCTGAAACAGATATAATCCACATTGACAACTTGACCCTTATTCACTAAAATAGCCATATCTAGAGTTCTAGAAATCCTTTTTGAGTGATTTTATGGCCATTAGAAATATAATACCCGAAGTTACAACTTTTGTGAAGAACATGAAGTCTAAAAATGTTGTTAAGGTCACCTCGCATGGCTGACAATATAAAACTTAATATTTCATGCACTAGAATGGAGATTGAACTTATAACTTGAATAACTCAATCAATTATTAACATTTTTACACGATTATAGAGTCTAAATTATATCCCCATGCATCTACTTTCTAACCCAACAAACGAAAATTGATTTGGTTAATTACACAGAAAGATATTACAAAAATATTAAAGTACATCCATAAGTAAAATCTCTCAATTACTTATTAATTCATATAATTAAGGGTGTTCATCAATCCATAAGAACCCTAACTTACAAAGCACATCCCAATAAATCCAATCATTATTTAGATCATCAATTTTATCAAATAATTTCACAACCAGATTTATAAATCAATATGAAATCCGATTGAATCATTATCTACCAATTATCAAAACCCCAATCTCTCATGAACCCTAACTCACAGGTACATTTCAAACAACTCAATCTCTCTCTCAGAACATTGATTTTAACATCTAATACCAGAAATACACTCACAAGTCCACATAGAAATTATCAGAATCATTAGGCATCCAAACAGAAACGAATATAAAATTACCAAAAATCCTAGGGAACTTTCCCTCTACGTACCTGTTCCCTCATGTGGCTTCGCATATAAAAATCTCATTTTTCTATGTACCTGGTTGTGTTAATCAGAATACTCTTGATGTAGTGGAAGTTGCTCCTAATCTCTTCCTGGGCACTCCTCCTCAAATCTCTTGTTTCTCCTTTCTCTTTTTCTTACTCCTTTAGAAAATTCTAAATAAGACTAATGAGGGTTAATCTATAAATCCCTCCTTTCCATTCTCTCGGGTCGGGTTAACCCAACTCATTACCTAAATAATAATACAAAAATTATTTTTCCTTTAATAATAATTAATATTTCTATCCCCAAAATATAATAAAGAATATAATATTAATAATATTATTATTTTCTATAAAAAAAATAGGGTGTTACATATTCTCCTTCATTTGCTCGGTCACTTTTAAAGTCACATTGGATCAAGGAAGATCAAAGTGTGTCTAGGAGCTTCCATGGAGGATTTGGCCTTCCAATCACCCCTGGAGTACAATCAGTGTACATGAAGAAGAAAAGAAGAAATAGAGTTTGGCTAGCTTATGGTACAAGCTAGACTAACCTTGGTTAAGTGTAACCAAGGTTAGTTAACTTGTACTCAAGATAACTGTAACGTCTAGTTGTATCTAATATTATATATATATGTGTGTGTGTGTATAATATTTATAGATTGAAAACACAAGTATATTATTAATAATATTACATGTGATAACAAAGAAAGATTTTTCGAACTCATTTACATATAGCTAGCTTATAATTACATTACATAATATTAAAAAAATATTTACAACAATGTGCGTAATTAAAACTGTTCATTTCTCACACATCTATTACAATGTTTACATATTAGGTTGATATAAGTTTACTATAAGATTAACGTAGTTTGCTGGAGGTAGGAAAAAGGTAACCACTATTGGTCCATCAATAACTGTAGGGATTTCCTGAGTAGGAGAAAATGTAAAAGTTGACAGTGCTACTCCTTGAAAAGTAACCGAATTGGTGACAACACCCACACTCGAAGTGGTTCCTAAAAATACCGCGGATATGATAGAAGGGAAAGGCCCCAGAAGTGCTGGTAGGTCGATTTATTTTTTTATTATAATTAATTAAATATTTAAACAAGAAACATAAGGAGTGAGAACAATTATCTAATAAATATCAACAATTACATAATATGCATAGAAATATTTAATACTAATAAATATATATATATTAATTCTTTTTATTATAAAAATTTGAACTATACTTGTAGTGACTAGTCAGGATAAATGAGCATCATAATAACAAACAACTAAAGGTTGTTTCACCTTAAGTTTTTACTCATTTAAATCCCCAAGGTAAACCTCCAACTACACATTAATTCAAACTTTTATTCGTATGGTCATAGAATAATATATATATATATATTATATGGCAATATATATATATATATAAATAAATGCATGAAGAAATAACAACAAGAAAAGTTAGAGATATTTTAACAAAACTATATTATAGTTAATCATAAAAATAATTACGCTAAATAAATTTGAGTATTTATCATTATTTAAGCTTTAATAAAATAATATTTACGGAAATGGAATATATTAAAGAGTACCTATCAAGTAAATGACATTGATAATCATTAGAAAATAATTAAACAACATAAACTATGAACACCTTATTAATTATTATGAGTAAAAATTATCATAGATTAAGTAAGTAAGTGAGGTTAAGGGCACCTCACTAAGTAAATACACATAAAATATAACAAACAAATAAACATAATAGCATATAAAATTTTAAAAAGATAAAATTCTCCTCCCCCTTACCTTAATATTTGAAATAGTATCACTCAAAATCTTTGTTCTTTCTCTTGTTTTATTTTGCTACAAAACCCAAGTCCCACATCGACTAGAGATTAGGCAATTGAATAGTATATAAGTGGAAAACAACCCTCACCTTATAAGCCAGTTTTGTAGGGTTGAGTTAGGCTTAATCCACTATTCTAAGATGGTATCAGAGCTGTCCTAGATTCTTAAAAATGAGTTACCCACCATTAATACATGCGCCATAGGCATGAGGGGGTGTATTGAGAAAAACTCAAGTCCCGCCAATCCTAGATCATTAAAAAGGGTCACCCATCATTTATCCACGTACCACGAGATAAATTCGTTCTCGTTTCTTTTTCTCCACCCTCAAGTCTTAGTAACCTCCCACTTCATTTGATTCATTCAGGTAAGCCTATTTATAGGCACTAATGCAATGATTACACTTGTTAGATTTTTACTACAATTTTTAACTAGATTTTAGTTTAGTTACAAAGTTATTAAAGTTTCTCGTATCTTTGTAGCAAATTTTATCTTATAAGTTGAATTGAATTTTACACAGATGGCTTTGAAATTGCAAGTTTTATCTTATCTACTAATTTTTTTTTTTATTTACATAAGGTTTTATTCTTTTTTTATTTAAATAAAAGCTATTTAATTGTTATAAAAATATATAAAAAGGCATAGCATGACTTGAACCTATGACTTGTAACTTATAATTCTTATGCACCACTAAACAAGTTATTGAACTATTCCATTTTATATGTATGTATTATATAAATTATAATATATATATCTAATTTGTTTCACATGTAATTATAATAATTAAGTTCTTGTTCCTCGAGGTCACAAAAGTTTTCATATATTTAATTTTGCCACCGATGCTGACAAGTTAGATAAATGAATTGCATTGAACTGAATAATGTTGTGCTTTGCCTTTGCAGGCCAACTTCATGCAAATTGACGGCACATTAAATAAATTGGCCACAGTATGAACTGCATTTTCTTTTAATCTTTCCTACTAAATTTCCGAGTTTGCACTAATTAAGTAACAAACTTTGCTATTTTGATTACTCTTTCACATTTCAGTTGCGAGAGTATATCGATGACACAGAAGATTACATAAACATACAGGTAAATTTTAGGCACAAGCAAGAATTTCTGAACAGAAATTGATCGAACACCCTATTTGTAGCATAACTCACAACTCTTTGTAACATGTCCCACATGCATGCAGCTTGACAATCACCGAAATCAACTGATTCAGGTATAAGCTTTTCTCCTTATGAGGTTATGTATCTATTAATTCTACGCCTCTTCCTACAATAACTTTTTGAAACATATTTGTTACCAAAGCCATGATTGATGTCTTAAAATACTACTATTATTGTGTATTCATGGGACAGCTAGAGCTCTTCATTAGTGCCGGGACTGTTTGTATGTCCTTATATTCATTGGTGGCTGCAATATTTGGCATGAACATACCCTATGCATGGAAAACAGGCCATGAACACATGTTTAAATGGGTATGTATAGAAAGGTGTATGTACGTATATGTATGAGTAAGCGAGTGTGAGAGAGTGTATATATAGCTTTAATCACCTGATATTTTTTAATTCAATTTTATAATTTTAGGTGGTGATCTTCGGTGGAATGGTTTGTGGATCCTTGTTTATATCCATAGTATCTTATGCACGACGCAAAGGCCTTGTTGGGTCTTGAAAAGCATAAAGAAGCATGTCGTGAGACATCGGATTAAGTCAAAAATATACAGCAAGTGAGCAATTCCAAACAATAATTTATTTGTTGTATATGTTATGCGCACAATAGCATTGTTTATCTTGTGATTAATTAGCTACCCTACGCAATTCGAATAAAGTGGCTGTTGGAAAATCACATGCAATGAATAAATATTTTTTTAATAGTCAGGTATTAATTTCGTGAAATCGGTTATGGCCCAAAATTCCATCGATTATGCGCATGCGCCTATCAATTAGTATTACAATCATATTACCATCGTTTCACGACAATTTCTGAATTTCGGGTCGTTTCCCACCCACCACTTTTGATCTAATGATTATGCTTATTTTGTCTAATGTAATTAAGACAAATGTAATTATTCACATTTCATGCCATTTCTCCCAGGTCATCATGTTAGTACTATTACTAGCAAACAATGAAGCATGAGGTTTAGAAATTAAGGTTAATTTAAAGGTAGTTTTGTCGGTGCTAGCTGTTAATGACAATATATAATTCCATGTTTCAAATTCCTAAAACTTTCTCTTTACCTCTGACGTGGATAAGCCTCGAGATGCATTGTTTTTTTTCACGAGGCACGAGTCTCAATTACTGAATTGCGCATGGTCTGAACTCAACTAAGGGGTAAGGCCCTCTTAAGCCTCAAGTCTGAACTGGACATAATAGTGGTGAGGAAAAACGAAAAAGGGTGGAGTGTTGAGGGACCCTTTTGCAAATAAGGAAAAAAGGAAGGAAGATCACTCTTTTTCGACAAAGCAATTGAAGAAGCTTTTTGACTTTGGAGTTTGGTGTGAACCTCCCTAGCTGACCCATACAATACCCACCTATTTTCTTCTTCTTATTATTATTTTTTAATTCCGTGGAGGAGTAAGAAGATGATGATAATTGTACTCGTAACTAACATTCAATGCCAAGCAAATGACATTCGGACACGTACTTAACATTTCTACGTCAAAGTCTTACAACACAAAAAAACTATTACACTGGCCATTTATACGATAATACATTCATACGTACAACTCTGGGCTGCAAATAAAAACGATAATACATTCATACTTAATATAAAAAATTTAGTATTCACCCAACAAAAACATATAAAAGGTATATAGATTACATTACATTTACATTTTCATTAATTTAATGAAATTACACACAATTTTCTTAATTTTTTTATCATTTACAACAACCTATCTTTAGTGTTACGTGTAATATTGTTCAAACAAGCGAGGGAATTGATATAATGGATAAAAGTGTTAGTATAATGTTTTTTTAAATAATAAAAGAAGTTAATTTCACAAAATTTTGATGGGTGTCTACATAATTTTCTAAAAAAATTATATTTTGATTTGTCTTAAAATAGAGTTTCTTTTTATATTTTTTTAAAATAATTAATGGTTTAATTGTCATAACCAAATAAAATCTTCTGTTGATATTACATTATCCTTTTTAATATATTAAAATATATAATTTAGTCTATTTAATTTATTATCATTAAATTAAATTACATTTTTTTCTCTAATCAATATAAGTATTAGATTACTCTTCTTTTATAGTTTTACATGTTAATGCATAGAATAAATTACACATTTTTTCTTTCAAAGATATATGTGACACTGTCACTCTCTTATTATATCAAGATATATAATTTAGAGTAATTAATTAACTTAATATCTCTAAATAGTTTTCATTATAAAATTTAAAACACATTTTTAATTAAATATATATGCTAAATTATTTTTAATTTATTAAATTTTAATTCACTCACTTGATAATTTTTTTTTTGTAAAATATATAATTAAATTGAAATAAATAAATTAAAGTAAAAAATAAAAATAGAAATCAAGAGATAAATTATATATATATATATATATATATATAATGTATACAAATGTAATATATATAAATTACCACATATATAAGTATTAATTTTTCAATA